AAAACATATAAATAATTGAGTCATGATACAATTATTTTTGAGAATTTTGGGAATTGAGTCAACAGCAAAATAATTTATACCACATATATAATCACTACTATCACATACTATCAACTATCAAGGATATATGTTATTATCACAATTATATATTTTAAACAGTAGCTTGGCCAATCGATACAGTATATTTTTTCAATATACTTAAATAGAATAGAACTACCAAAGTGGTACGCCAAATAAATATTCTTAATTATATAATTAATGTTACTATCATATATTTAAATAACTATTCAACTAATCAATTACTATTATCATATATCAGCAACTATCAAGAAGACATATCATTATTACTACTATATACTCCAGACAGTAGCTTGGACAATTGATGCAATATATTTTTCAATATACTTAAAAAGAATAAAATTACCAGAGTGGCATGCCGAATATTTCTCACTTGTATAGTATCAAACATATAACTTTTTTTTCTTTTTTTTTCAATTTTCTTTTACTTTCCATTTCATTTATGTCCAACAAAAAATTTTGAGTAAGTAAGTATAGCTGCTACTCAGTTATATTTAGCATATATAATATTGTTTTAAATTTTTTTTTCGATATTAGCTAGATATAGATGTGTAGACAGACTAGCATTTAACTTGTTGTATACTTTTTGCATTCAAGAAATGTTGTTTCTTTCACTATATATTGTTGGCATGAAAATCTGGCAAGTCTGTTGCTTGAGCGCGCCTCCCATCGTGTAACAATGGAGCACGTCTTTTACTCAAAAGAGGTGTATGTATTTGGTCTGAGCCATTGGGTAGCACTACAAATCAATTGGTAGATCTGGGGATCTAGAGGGTTGCTACTCGTATAGCAATTCCTTAAGTGTAGTGTGTATGGATTAGGTAATAGGGCAAATGTTCAACAATGGAATCTAGGAGAATGTCAGAGTTGTGTAGTACCTGTCTGAAATTCTTCTCATTTTCATCCCTTCTTCTGTTACTTATATACTTATTTTTAATATACACTTTATACCTACTATACATTTTATACCTGATATACACTTTATACCTGATATACCTATTATACTTGATATACTTGATATACTTACTATATCTTTTTCCTTATTATTTTCTATCACCTTTTTACACGCTAACAGTATATCTATTAATATACAAGTAAATAAAGAAATGATGTTTACCTACTGGAAAAAAAAAAAATAAAAATAAAATAATATCTTTATTAATATCTTGATTAGAATATTTATTAACAAGAAAGAAATTTTAATACAATAAATATTCTTTAATAGAATTTAACAGTAATGAAAAGAGTAGATAAAAAATTATAACAAAATTAATTAAAAAGATTTTTGACTTTATAACAATAACAAGGGCTTATTAACTATCTTATTTAAACAAATAAAAAAAAAAAATTTAAGATTATACTTATATATAATAAATTGTTAACTCTGAACAATCTAATTAAATATAATACTCAAGAACTATTAGCAAATATCAAATATACCTAGAACTAGATTTTAACCTGTTGCAAAGCAACAGAATTTATATATAAATTATAGAAATATTATTATAACTTTTATAATAATATAATCTAATTACAATTGTATTAGAGAATTATTATTTCTGTGTAACAATGATTATTTAAAAACTTCGTAATATACAATATTTTTTGTTTATCGATCTTGGTTTCTATTTATGTTATTTGATATAAGAATTTTGATGCATCGGTAAGAAATGATTCTCAATAGAGCGACATACAGCTGACCATGCAAAAAAACCAGCTGTGGCATATAGAGACCTACTTGATTTAATATTTGGCCCTGTGCTTTATTAATAGTCATAGAAAATGCAACTTGTATAGGAAATTGGCATCACATTAAAGTAAAAGGCAAATTGATATCAGAAGGTATTAATGTAATTCTAGATATGAAAATATATTGTCCAATGTATGAACCTGTCATAATTTTTGCATCGATTACCTTATTAAAAAGTTTATGACAAATTAATCAGGTCCTATTACAAAGTTCTTTTGATAGTCTAAGTTTCGTAAAAGCATAATAGGTATTCTTACTTTTAACTTTAATTTGTCAGGAGGGAGACCACAAATCTTTAGGGATCTTAAAAATTCAGGGGAATATAATTGGGGCTGTTCCACATTACTATCCTCTAAATCTATAGAGTTTGCACTGTAATATGTGTAAACTTTGCCTGGAAGCCGGTTCATAATCAGGTCAGAGATTTTTTCAACTTCGTCATTCTTTGAAGTTAAAATGGCTCTGCCAATCATGTAGTTCATATTGCCAGAATTTTCAACTAAGTTTGAATAAACAAAATCAATAAGATCTGACAATTGCCCTCTAAGTATTACTAATCTATTACCAGTTTATAAATCTATATAAAGAAGTAGTTTCTTTTTTTGCACACTATAGAAACTATATGATTCATATTAGAATGATTATTTTTTTAAATCCTCAAATATTTCTTCAACTCCACCTCTCGTTTGGTAAGTGCCTAATATATATGAATTTAATTAATTATTAATTAATTAAATATATATTAATTTAAATCTTTAAGTGAGTTATTACTACTTTCATCTATCATTTGGTAAGCTTCTTATGCAAATTAATTTATATTTAACCATAAGTGATTTTTTATAATTAAAGTTAATAATCATAATTATAGTAATCGTTATAAACTCCTTACATCGTAAATGATCCAAATAAAAAAAATTTTTTAATCTATCTATCAAGTATAGTTCCTGAAGGTGTTTTTGATTATATTTTAGTTTTTTAGGAATCACATGTTACATGTTGATTTAGAATAGATGGTGGGTTAATTGCCTAACAGATTCAATCCTAAGGGATCCAGTGAATATAATTATAAGATCTCATGAAATCAACTTAGACTGAAAAATTAGAAAAAATTACTCATTATATTTTGTTCTGTAATCCAGAAAATTATAATTATAAAATTTTATGAAATTAACTTAAAAAATTAGAGAAAAATTACCCATTAGATTTTGTTCAATTATGTATGGTTCTTAAATATATTTTTATTCATATTTGTAGTTTTAAAATTGCATGTATCACATGTCTAAGAATGCAATTCTGTCGTAACGGAGATTATTAATATTTAGGTAAATAAATAATATGCAAGAAAGCAATTTAATCATTCTGTTAGAGTGAAATTAACTATAAAAAGTTTTTAGAAATCGCATGTCACATGTTGGTTTGGGATAGGTGGTGGGTTGGTTGCCCAATAGATTTAATCCTAAGGAATCCAGAGAATATATATAATTATAAGATCTCATGAAATCAACTTAGACTGAAAAATAGAAAAAAATTATCTATTATATTTTGTTCTATAAGATCCTGTTCTATGATCCAAGAATATATATATAATTATAAAATTAAAGAAAAATTATCCATTAGATTTTGTTCTGTCGTGTATGGTTCTTGAATATGTTTTTAGTCATATATTTATAGTTTTAAGATTGTATGTATCACATGTCTAAGAAAGCAATTCTATCATAAAAGAGATTAGTGGCATGGAAGAAAGCAATTTAATCGTTCTGTTAGAGTGAGATTAACCATAAGAAAATTATTAATATTCGAGTAGATAGATAGCGGAAGTCTATTATAAAACATATGTACTGCTAGGAGGAAAATTAGGTTATGATCGCATAATGTAATACTTGTGGTATAATCCTTAATTTTTAGGATGTGTGTGAAATTTAGGTCATAGCTATGTGACGTAATCGCCACGAAACAAAATAATAAATTAGTTCATAATTTCTTTTTATCAGATAAATTAAATAACGAACTCACTTGTCTTTATTTTTCTTCCAACAGAGGAGTTATATGGATAAGGTAAAAAAAAACATATATAAATGGAGGGAAAAATAAAATGTAATATAAGTGCTTGTAATATAAAGAAATATTTATCTTCTTTTCTTTTCCATGCCTTCTTGCAAGATAAAATTATTAAACTACATGTATTTACAAACAACGCGTTGTAATTATTATTACACAAAATTTATTATCATCATATATATATATATAATGAATGATAATACAATTGATTATTTATATTAAGTATTCTAAATGTCAGCATTACACATGAAAAGTTTTATTATATAGTATTGATATAAAGAAAAGTAAATCATATAATATTTTGTAACAAATTTTGAAGAAAAAAAAATAAGATATAGAAGAATATTCTTGATAAGTTATTTTTTTTTTATGTTAAGGTGAGACACTTCTTATAATCTTTATTAATAGAGTAAATATGTAATGTTATATAATCAATATTAAGATATGAGATATATGGCTATACATATCGGTCTACCACCTATTGTAGTAGATATATTTCCAAAAAACCTTGAGCAGACAAAAAAGGAAAGGAACTATCTATTAGGAAAAATAAAAAATAAGAAAATATTTGGGGCAAGATCATCATTTAGTGAAAGAAAAAAAGATAGAAAAGAAGAGGTGTTGGAAAAATATTGAAACTTTTGTTAAATGTAATTCCTGAACACAAATAGATGTTTCAGTTGAATGACGGCATCTCGCAAACCACATATAACTCGATGAGTTTGATCAGGTGATTTTTGTGATATGTTGCTGTTATGTGATATGGTTGTGTTGTAGTGTTATAGTGGGATAACTGGAATACATTCCAGATGTTTGTTGTTTTATTGTAGTGGATCTTTGTATATTGTGGTTACCGGAACCCGCGCAGGGCACTGATCACATGCTCTCCCAATCCAGTAAGTTGTTGTGTTGTTTTGATGTGGTTTAGTGATACAGAATATTATTGGTGTTTTATGTGTTGCAGATTTTTTGGTGGGAGTAAACTGGTTTTGGTTTTTTTGTATATGGAGGTGAACGAGGACTGACAACTAGCCAGAAGGTTATGCCAATTAACCTGGCACTAATTATCATCAGCAAAAAACAAAAACTCTAAAAAAGTAAAATGCTGCCTCTTGAGAAAAAAATTGTGTTTGATTTTGTGTGTGTTTTTTGTGATGTGATAGGTAGTAATGTATATGAATATGGTAAAAAGGTTTTCTTTTGTTTGGAGGTTGCTTACATAGGTTTTACTCAGTAAAGCAAAGGGTTTAATCGAAGAGGTTTTTGCTACTCCCAAAGCATCCACCCCTCTAGAGAGAGTTAATCGACCTCTTGTACCCTGCAGAAAGCTAAGATGGACTCCTCTCCCAGGAAGAGGTTCTTGCTTGCTGTTTACTGTCTACTGTTCATATTGTTACCAAAAAAAAAATTTTTTTACAGATTGAAAAGTTATGGGAAAGAGTTTTTTTTTTTTGAAATTATTCTTGATAAGTTATATATATTTTGAATTATAAAGTATATTAGAAAAAACAAAAAAAAAGCAAAATGAAATTTAATACCAATTTATAAAATAATATAAAAATAGAAAACAAAAAAATTATCCTTAGCAAAAAAATAATAAATATTAGTATAGGATTATAAATGAAAGAAAAAACTATAGAATAGATTTATATATATTGTATATTTAAGATATATAAAGTAGCAATTCAAAAAATTCTAAATAAAATATTACAAATCTGAAGCAAAAAGTTTTGTCAACAAATTAGAAATATAAAATACAAAAAAATCTATAATTACAAGAAAGCATATAATAAAAGAAAAGAAAGAAAGACAAATTTTAACTTGAAAATATCAAAAAAAATATACAAGTTCAAAAATAAACTTAAATTATAAGAGAAAGAAAAAAAGACAACAGCAATATTGACAGATAAAAACTTAGTAACCAAAGGTATTATAATTTTAAAAACTTTTATGCAAATCTTATAAAACAAAATAAAAAAGAGAATTAAGTGATTAAAAATATAATGTAATTAAGATTTTACTAAAGTGAACTATAATAATGAACTGTAGGCAATAAACTTAAACTCTTATAGGAATAGAAAAAATAAGCAAGTAATTTTATTTATCTTTAAGATTATATTTAGAGATTGATAATCAATAACAAATATTCAAGTATTAGTTTAATTTATATATAAAAGTCCTATATTAGTATGTTTTTAGAAAAAAATATTATTATTAAAAAAAATATTTATAATTCATAATATAAATTTTTATCAGTTATGTCTACTAGGAGACAAGAATCTTGAAAGCAAAGTGATCAAAAACCATCTGTCTGGCCTATATAATTCTTGTGGATTCGTGTCCCAATTGGTCAAAAAAAAGAACTCCTAGGTTTGATAGCTGATAGCCAACCAGAGGATAAAAAGATTTGGAGCATTTACTAGGGAGTACAGACCAACATAAAGATCCTTTTGCCATATTAGCTGTGTGAGCAAAAAGATGTATAGTGATGAGTTACTTATAAAGGATAGTAAGTAGTATTTCATTGTTTCCGCATAAAAATTGGACTGGTAGGTTAAATGGTTTAAACTAATGATAGGAATTCCTCTTCTAGATAGGTCCTTCTGAAGATGTGAAAAAATACTTCAAGAGTATCAAATTAGCATTAACGGACAATAGATAGTTGATAGGCTAACATTAAGCTGTAGTGTAATAGTTATAGAAAATGTTTGATATATTATAATAGATATGATTTAATATTAATAAAGATTTGTATCTAATGCCATTCAACTCAAAAAAATAAATAAATAAATAAATAAATAAATAAATTTTTATCAGTTATATGATTTTACAAATTTAATTTACAATCTGAAATCCAAGTTATATATAATTTTCTTATTTATTATATCAATAAGTATATATATAATATACTGTATAATTAATAATTTAATCAATAGCTATTATTACTTTTTTTTTTTATGGTTTTTTAAAGTTTTATATATTGATATTAATTAATTTACTTTATATAAAAATAATTAATATATTGATTAAAATAAAATTTTAACAAAATTTTTATTTAGACCTGTAATAATAATAATAATAATAATAATAATATTTTATTATAATAAAATTATAAAAAACTCTCTTCTGACCTACCCAGTTATAGTCCAGTAGGCTAAGGCAGGGTAGGACTAACCTATGAACTACGGTTCAACCCCAGCTGGAGGCAATTCACATATCCCAAATGGGACTTTGTGTCACTGCTCCTGTAACTCATGATAGAGAGCAATTTGGATTGTTCTGACAATTAAGGAGCCTTATGGATAGACTATATCCCATTGGTCAAAAAGATAGATGATCTGATTGGTAAAACTTCCTGATCAAGTATTGCCCAGGAAATACCTCCAAAAGGGGAAAGAAGTTTCATGGAATCTTTCCAGTAGTGGAAGGAAAGGTACAGATGGCTAAAACCATTAGTCGCACAATTATCAGTAAGAGTTTCACATGTCCATTGGTAGCGAGAATCCAGTTAGGATTGTAGGAGGTCGCTTGTATCACAGGATGTTATATCCTAAGGGGTACACTTGCGACGGTTGACTACATGCCTCCATAAATTGTAACCTCTCACATGTGTTGCTAGGTCAGATTAGGAAGGATGAGACTGGGTCCGATTTCTAGGCGAATTTGATGTACTGGTGTACCCTCATCCTGCTAATGATATCTCACTGACTAAATCCTAGTAAGTCTTGGCTAAACTGAACGGTTGAAATACTGTAGTGGTGGCTGCAGGCAATGATTATCCTGGCTTGATAGTAAAAGATCTTGCCTTGAATATAACAACTTTCCACCCCTTCCGTCTATACTTAGAGGCTTAGGCCTAAGACGAGTATTTAGGTTCCAACATCACCACTTGTACCCTGGAGAAACACCAGGAGACTGGCAAAAAGGTGATAAAAAGAGGTACCTGAGTTGATGGCAAAGGTAAAAAAAAAAAAATAAATAAAAAACTCACTTCTGATCATGTTTACTTTGCTAAATATTTTCCTTTTATAGTAATTTTTGTCAAAAAAAATATTTTATACTCTTTATTACAAATGAGTCCCAGCTTAAGAACTTAAGAATTTTTAAGATAACTGGTATAGTAGGATAGGATCTCTGGTCAAAGTCTACTCAAGTTTGGGAGTCTTGCTTATTCTTTGGTTGCATAAGGAAAGGCCCATAGTAGTTCTCTTTTCTTTTGTTCTCTTGCATCCCTCTTTTCACCTATTATAACATAAAAACTATTTATATCAATACTATTATATATGCTAAGTCAAATACTTTCCAAAAAATATACTCAAATAAAGTTATTGAATTTACTGTTTGTTTTAATATAACCTTTACATACAATCTTATTATGGCAACAACTACTGTACCATTTCAAAATTTCCAAAATCTTTTGTTCAAAAAACTGAAATCAGTTTATCTCCTCCAGATGATAATCACTCTCCAATCATCCAATCAGATTTCATTAAAACAATATAGAAAAAACTAAACCTGTTCAAACCGATTTTTTAGCATAACAATAATAACAATAACAATAACAACTATAACAACAAACAATGTCACGCGTACTCTTCTATTTATAGTAATTAAAGAGTTGGAGAGATGGGATCACGTACCTGTTTGAAGACTTTTTTAGGAAAATAATTGGATTTCTACTTATAGATTTTATAGTCCATTTGACTTAGTTTTAGTTTTAATCATTGTTATTTTTTATTTATTTATTTTATATTCAAAAAATCAAAAGATTTCACAAAATTTTGTCAAGTAGATAGGCATAGCCGCTACTTCACTATTTAATATTTTAATATTGCTTTTGAAATTTTTTTACAATATTAGTTAGATAGTGATTAAGTAGACAAGCTAGCATTTAACTTGTTGTATGCAATATGCACCCAAGAGATGTTGTTTCTTTCTCAATGTATACCTACAATATACAATAACAAATAAAGAAATGATGTTTACCTACTGGGGAAAACCCCTCCAAAAAAATACAATAAATTCTTTTTAAATATATATATTCTAATTCTAAAACTATAGAAAATTTTTTTAAAAATATACATTTATAAAGAAAATTTTATTAAAAGTTTTATATATTTGAAATTAAGCTTGACCATGCATTTAAAGAGAAAATACATAGTAAGTGCATCTATAAAGAATGTATTTAGGAAGGTTTCTCTGTAATATTTTTTACTCAAAATTTTAACTACCGGTTATCTTATGTGGAGTTTTATCCAGATACCCGGTTATTTGAAGTATTTGTAACACATTGATCGCTTAGTCAGCATATATTTCATATATATAGGAATTTGCAGAGAATTCAAAATTAACAGATCAACGCCTTTGACATCTTGCTAGTTTTGTCATGTCTGAAAGCGGTGAATCTTCATCTTTTCAAGTTCAAGGAGGTTATGCATATTCTGATCAACAACAACAACCCTTTGCTTACCAATATTACCAGTTTAACAGCGCACCAAATCAATACAACGCCAATCATTTCGGTAACACTCAATCTTCGACAGAAACGTCAGCAGAAAAGTTAGATGAAAGGGCACGAAAATGGCAACAGATGCAATCAAAACGTTATGGGGAGAAGAGGAAGTTTGGATTCATTGAACACGAGAAGGCAGACATGCCACCAGAACACATTAGAAAAATTATTAAAGATCATGGGGATATGTCCAGCAAAAAGTATCGACACGACAAGAGAATATATCTTGGTGCTTTGAAATATGTTCCACATGCAGTATTAAAATTGCTGGAGAATATGCCAATGCCTTGGGAGCAGGTTGATATGCTTTTTTTTCCTTTTTTTTATTTTGTATCCTTACGAATAAAGATATTTAAAGTAGCAAAATTAAATTTACATAGGTTCGCGAAGTACCTGTTCTATACCATATAACGGGTGCAATAACATTCGTTAATGAAATTCCTTGGGTTATTGAGCCAGTATATATAGCACAATGGGGTACTATGTGGATAATGATGCGTCGGGAAAAACGAGATAGGCGACATTTCAAGCGTATGCGTTTTCCTCCTTTTGACGATGAGGAGCCTCCGTTGGATTATGGTGATAACATTTTAGATGTCGAGCCATTAGAAGCAATTCAAATGGAATTAGAAGAAGACGAGGACGGTCCCGTTTACGAGTGGTTTTATGATCATCGTCCTTTACTGGATACAAAATATGTTAATGGGCCAACGTACCGACGTTGGAAATTAGATTTGCCAATTATGTCTGTTCTATATCGGCTGGCACATCAATTACTTTCAGATCTCACTGATCAAAATTATTTCTACTTATTTGATATTAAATCTTTTTTTACCGCCAAGGGTAAATATATTTTTTTTTAAAAAAAAAATAATAATAATAATAATCGTTTTATAACTAATCAATTTTATTTATAATATTGAAGCCCTTAATGTTGCAATTCCTGGTGGCCCAAAATTCGAACCATTATATAGAGATATGGATACAGCTGATGATGACTGGAATGAATTTAATGACATAAACAAGATTATTATTCGTCAACCCATTCGAACGGAATATAAGATTGCGTTTCCATTTCTTTACAACTCTCTCCCACGGTCGGTTCATGTATCATGGTACCATGAGCCAACGGTTGTTTACATTCGCGCCGAAGACCCAGACTTACCTGCATTTTATTTCGATCCTATCATCAATCCGATTTCATCGCGCAATATAAATCTTCAGAATTCAATTTCACATGAAGATCAAATATTTGGGGACGGAGAAGTTGATGAAGAGTTTACACTTCCAGAAAAGGTTAATCCATTTTTGGAAGACGTACCACTCTATACGGAAACCACGGCTGATGGAATTGCACTTTGGTGGGCGCCTCATCCTTTTAACAAGCGCAGTGGACGAATGCGTCGTGCAGAAGATATACCTTTAGTGAAAAATTGGTATCTTGAGCATTGCCCCCCAGGGCAGCCAGTAAAAGTCCGAGTGTCCTATCAAAAACTCATTAAGTGCTATGTTCTGAATGCTTTGAAACATCGACCACCAAAGGCATTGAATAAGAAATACTTGTTCCGTCAGCTTAAATCTACAAAGTTTTTCCAAACAACAGAGTTGGACTGGGTTGAAGCAGGATTGCAAGTTTGCCGTCAAGGCTATAACATGCTCAACCTTCTGATTCATCGAAAGAATCTCAATTACCTACATTTGGATTATAACTTCAAGTTAGTGAGAAAGTTCTGGCATTTTGATCTGCGTTCTACACCTATTTAGATAACATTAATTCCGAATTGAATATCGCCTTTTTCTTGCAGCTTAAAACCTGTTAAAACCCTTACTACTAAGGAACGTAAAAAATCACGATTCGGAAATGCATTCCATTTGTGTAAGATTAACAGTTTGATTTTCTTTTATTACACATTAAAATATATATGTATTATTAACGACATTATATTTACTTAGGTCGTGAAATTTTACGCTTGACAAAATTGGTGGTTGATTCGCACGTGCAATATCGATTAGGAAACGTCGACGCGTTTCAATTGGGTATTTATACGATTCTTGGTTAAATTTTTATTCATCAGGTCCATTGGCGCGTGGTTTAACATGTAAAGTATCTTTTAATATTACAGCTGACGGTCTCCAGTATATTTTTTCGCATGTCGGGCAATTAACTGGAATGTATCGATACAAATATCGACTTATGAGGCAGATACGACTTTGTTTTTCTGCCGATCAGAAGATAATGATGAGTGACGGCACCTTTAAAAAAGCAAAGGACATTACTATTGGAGACAAAGTCATGGGCGATGATAATCAATCACGTAAAGTTATCTCGCTTTCAAGAGGTCATGGTGCAATGTATCGCGTTTATTGTGATTATGGAAATACTAGCAATAATTTATTGAACGATGAGTTTGTCTGCAATGGTCCTCATCTTCTTGTACTCAGGGCGAAGCTGCACCCCTGGAAAGAAATCAAACAAAATATGCGCTCATATTTTGTATATCACATGAAAATTGATTCCTATGATACAGAGCTTGGTATAAAAATTCCGACTATGGCTACCACCAAATTCTCTTGGAATATTAACGTCTACAATTCTCACGAAGAAGCGTACAATAAGGCAAAGGAGTTTTTACAAGATTTGGAAAGCAAAGGATACGAAGGATGTATATGTTCTCACCCGAATGCTAAACGATGGTCAATCCAACTTTCACGAAAACCACCAAACGCAAAAAATTTAGAACAAGATTCGTTAAGTTTTTACTGGGAACGACCGGTGAGGAAAGAAAAAAATTGCACCCAGGAAGAGGCTGAAATGGAAGCTTCCAAATTTGCAGATGAACAGCTTGAGATCATTAAAAATTATATTTGGGAAGTTTCTGTTGAGAATTTCCTTCGATATCAAGAAAGGTATCCTAACACAGCTCGCTGCATGAGAATGTACCGATGTTCTATACCAATATTTCCTGATTCCAGTGATCTCGAAATAAAATCTCTTATTGATGAGACTTGTGATGAATTTGGCCTTGGTGAAAAAATTTCCGAAAGCGAATTTGCTTGGTTGCTTGGAGCATGGCTTGGAAGCGGCCTTTCAAATGCACCAATATTTTCCGCTCACACTGAGAATTCACATGGAATGATTACTAAAATACGAGAAATTTCCAGAAAATTACTACTCAAACCTGTCATGTATTCTGTCGGAAAATCATGTAAGATATTGCTCTCGGCAAATACTGATCATGACACAACTCGATATAATGCGTTTGGGGATCTTATCGTGAATGAGGACGAGTGGATCTTAGAGTTAAGCAATAACGACCGAAATATCTTTAGTTTCATGTTAAATCGGTTGGGTATATATAACGAAAGGAATTTATTTAATGACAACCTAATCGGGAAGTTGACCAACCAATCAGAAGAGTTTCGCCTTAATCTTCTGGCTGGTCTTGTCGATACGGACGGAAGTATATACAATTACAAACCCGATCGCTGTTGCTATAAGTTTTCACAAAACTTGGATGCACATATTACTTTACTCTGTCGTAACGTTGCACGCTCTTTGGGAATAAAGGTTGTCTTGCGCGCATATGAAGAAGAGGGGTTGTTTGACAACGGAGTTAGAGTCACGAAGTCTTTTTATGTGTGTATAAGTGGACCAAAGGTGAAGGAGATACCTATCACAATAGATCATAAACGGATTCCTGAGAACATTAGTTTCAAAGATTTGGATGGAAAATTCAAATTCAAAATAGAACGTCTTCAAGAAGATAATTATTACGGATTTGCGGTTTCCGGGAATAATGAAAGAATTTTGTTAGATGATTTTACAGTTTCACACAATTGTAAGGATCTCAAACATCTTATATACTATCGATTTAACACTGGTCCCGTCGGAAAAGGTCCTGGCTGTGGATTTTGGGCGCCGGGATGGCGCGTTTGGCTCTTTTTCATGAGAGGAATTGTTCCCCTCTTAGAAAGATGGCTTGGGAACTTGTTAGCTCGGCATTTTGAAGGTCGTCATTCTAAAGGGATCGCAAAAACAGTAACCAAACAGCGTGTCGAATCACATTATGATCTTGAATTACGCGCAGCGGTAATGCATGATATATTGGATATGATGCCGGAAGGTATAAAAGCAAATAAATCAAAGACAATATTGCAACATCTGAGTGAAGCATGGAGATGTTGGAAGGCAAATGTTCCATGGCATATAATGGGAATGCCGAAACCTATAGAGAATATGATTTTGAGATATGTCAAGAGCAAGGCTGATTGGTGGACCAGTGTGGCACATTATAATCGAGAAAGAATCCGAAGAGGTGCCACAGTCGACAAGACGGTAAAATTAAATCCATTGTTTATCACTTACTATTTAATTTCTTAAAACTTCCAATATTAACGCCATTTATTAATAGGTTTGTAAGAAAAATCTTGGACGTTTGACTCGTTTATGGTTAAAGGCGGAACAAGAACGTCAGCATAATTATCTAAAAGATGGACCATATATTACTGCAGAGGAAGCTGTTGCCATTTACACATCTACTGTACATTGGCTTGAGAGTCGTAAATTCTCACCCATTCCTTTCCCACCACTTTCTTATAAGCATGACACGAAATTGCTGATATTGGCACTTGAAAGATTAAAAGAAGCGTATAGTGTTAAAGGACGTCTTAATCAGAGTCAACGAGAAGAATTGGGTCTGATTGAACAAGCTTATGACAATCCCCACGAAGCTCTAAGTCGTATAAAACGTCTTCTTTTAACCCAACGCGCATTCAAAGAAGTTGGAATAGAGTTCATGGATCTATATAGTCACTTGATTCCAGTATTTGATGTCGAACCTCTTGAAAAAATCACTGATGCCTATCTTGATCAGTACCTTTGGTACGAAGGGACAAAAAGAAATTTGTTCCCTGCATGGATTAAACCCTCTGACACCGAACCTCCACCACTTCTCGTTTATAAATTCTGCCAGGGTATTAATAATTTAACAGATGTCTGGGAAACATCTGAAGGCGAAATTAATGTCATGTTGGAGACCCAATTCAGCAAGGTTTATGAAAAAATTGATTTGACTTTGTTGAACAGGTTATTACGGTTAATTTTGGATCATAATCTCGCAGATTACATGACGGCAAAAAACAACGTAGTCCTTAACTACAAGGATATGAATCACGTGAATGCATATGGTCTTATTCGTGGTTTGCAATTCGCTAGTTTTATATTCCAATATTACGGTCTCATCCTTGATCTCCTTCTGTTGGGTCTTCAACGAGCGTCGGAAATGGCGGGTCCTCCTCAAATGCCTAATGAATTTTTACAATATCGTGATGTTGCTACAGAAACAAGACATCCGATCAGATTATATTGCAGATACATTGACAAAATTCATATATTTTTCCGTTTCAACGCCGAGGAGGCCCGAGATCTTATACAACGTTATCTTACAGAACATCCTGATCCAAACTCGGAAAATATAGTTGGATATAACAACAAAAAATGCTGGCCACGAGATTGTCGCATGAGATTATTCAAGAGTGATGTTAATGCTGGAAGAGCTGTGTTCTGGGATATAAAGAATAGATTACCACGTTCACTTACCACAATTGAATGGGAAGATACATTCTGTAGCGTGTATTCGAAAGACAACCCGAATGTTCTATTCTCCATGTGTGGATTTGAGGTTAGAATTCTTCCAAAAATCAGAAACTTAAACGAGGAATTCACGCTTAAAGACGGAGTTTGGAATTTGATCAATGAACAAACAAAAGAAAGGACAGCACAAGCCTTCCTTCGGGTAGATGAAGAATCCATGAACAAATTCCATAATCGTGTTAGACAAATTTTAATGGCCAGTGGAAGCACTACTTTCAGCAAAATTAGTAATAAATGGAACACTTGTTTAATTGGATTGATGTCTTATTTCAGAGAGGCAGTCGTCCATACCCGTGAATTGTTGGACATTATCGTAAAAGCAGAAAATAAAATCCAAACTAGAATCAAGATCGGATTAAATTCCAAGATGCCTTCCCGATTTCCTCCCGTGGTATTTTATTGTCCAAAGGAGATTGGCGGTTTGGGAATGCTTTCGATGGGACACGTTCTCATTCCTCAAAGTGATCTCAGATGGAGCACTCAAACTGAGACAGGTATAACTCATTTCCGATCGGGAATGAGTCATGAAGAAGATCAACTGATACCTAACCTCTTTAGATATCTTCAACCATGGGAATCAGAATTCATTGATTCTCAACGTGTTTGGGCCGAATATGCCCTGAAAAGACAGGAAGCTAACGCTCAAAACCGGCGACTGACACTCGAGGATTTAGAAGACTCATGGGACAGAGGTTTACCACGAATCAACACGTTGTTCTCAAAGGATCGTCATACTCTAGCTTATGATAAAGGCTGGCGTGTCAGAACTGAATTTAAGAGCTATCAGATATTGAAAAATAATCCGTTTTGGTGGACACATTCTAGACACGATGGTAAACTATGGTGTCTGAATAATTATCGATCCGACATGATTCAAGCGTTAGGAGGAGTTGAAGGTATTTTGGAACATACCCTTTTCAAAGGAACCTACTTTTCTACGTGGGAAGGTCTCTTCTGGGAAAAAGCTTCTGGCTTTGAAGAAAGTATGCGGTACAAGAAACTGACAAATGCGCAACGTTCCGGTCTTAATCAGATTCCCAATCGTCGATTTACATTGTGGTGGTCTCCCACGATTAATCGAGCCAATGTATATGTGGGTTTCCAAGTCCAATTAGATCTTACAGGAATATTTATGCACGGCAAAATTCCGACCTTAAAGATTTCACTGATCCAAATATTCCGAGCCCATTTATGGCAAAAGATTCACGAGAGTGTTATCATGGATCTATGTCAAGTGTTTGATTCTGAACTTGAAAGCTTACAAATTGAGACGGTGCAAAAAGAATCTATTCATCCTAGGAAATCATACAAAATGAACTCTTCATGCGCTGATATTTTGCTGTTCGCCTCTTACAAATGGAATGTCTCGAAACCTTCACTCTTGAATGATAACAAAGATGTAATGGACGGAACAACAACGTCGCGATGGTTTGTCGATTGTCAATTAAGATGGGGTGATTTTGACTCTCATGATATAGAAAGATATACTAGAGCCAAATTCTTGGATTATTCCACCGACAACATGAGTATTTACCCATCACCATTTGGTATCATGATCGGTATTGACCTCGCGTATAATTTGCACAGCGCATATGGTCACTGGATTCCTGGCATGAAACCATTGATTCAATCGGCGATGGCGAAAATCATGAAAGCCAATCCAGCTCTATACGTTTTGCGCGAACGTATACGAAAAGGGTTACAATTGTACAGTTCCGAACCCACTGAACCTTATTTATCGTCACAAAACTATTCTGAACTATTCTCTAATCAAATTATTTGGTTCGTGGATGACACAAATGTCTATCGTGTCACTATTCATAAAACTTTTGAAGGCAATTTGACAACAAAACCTATCAATGGTGCCATTTTCATCTTTAATCCAAGAACAGGTCAGCTGTTCTTGAAAATTATTCACACTTCCGTGTGGGCTGGTCAGAAACGTTTAGGACAATTAGCCAAATGGAAAACCGCGGAAGAAGTGGCTGCTCTGATTCGTTCATTGCCAATTGAAGAACAACCCAAACAAATTATTGTAACCAGAAAAGGAATGTTGGATCCTCTAGAAGTACATTTGCTTGATTTCCCTAACATTGTTATCAAAGGTAGTGAATTGCAATTGCCATTCCAAGCCTGTTTGAAATTAGAGAAGTTTGGTGATTTAATCCTTAGGGCAACGGAACCTCAAATGGTAGTTATCCTGACTTTCTTTTTTTTGTCATTATATCTATTAACAATTTCATGAACTCGTGTCTATCTAGACGCTATTCAATTTATTTGATGACTGGCTGAAGACAATATCGTCGTACACCGCTTTTTCACGTCTGATACTTATTCTGCGTGCTCTACATGTAAATACGGACAAGACAAAGATGATTTTGAGTGAGTTTTCATTTAGATGTTCCGCACCATATAATTTCATTATGTAAGATTATTAATATATTATCGATCAAAATAGGACCAGATAAGACAACCATAACTGAACCGCATCACATTTGGCCAACATTGACTGATGAAGAATGGATTAAAGTAGAAGTTGCACTCAAAGATTTAATATTGGCTGATTATGGTAAAAAGAACAATGTCAATGTCGCTTCACTTACCCAATCGGAAATTCGAGACATCATTCTTGGTATGGAAATCTCTGCACCATCTCTTCAACGTCAACAAATTGCGGAGATTGAGAAGCAAACTAAGGAACAAAGTCAACTTACTGCTGTAACAACTAAAACTCAAAACGTGCACGGTGACGAAATGTTGGTCGTGACCACAAGCAATTATGAGACCACGACTTTTGCGTCAAAAACCGAATGGCGTGTACGAGCAATATCTTCAACGAACTTGCACCTTCGTACAAATCACATATATGTTAATGCTGAAGACATTAGAGATACTGGATATACCTATGTTCTTCCAAAGAATCTATTGAAACGATTTATTCAAATTGCTGACTTAAGGTTAATATACTTTTCTTTTGTATTAATGTACAGCTATATTTTAAAATCATTAAATTTGATTTTGTATTAGAACTCAAATTGCTGCATACATATACGGTGTTTCTCCTCGCGATAATGCCCAAGTCAAGGAAATCAGGGCCTTGGTCATGGTTCCTCAATATGGTATTGTATACTTTCCTTATTTTAATGATCAGACATCACAGCTGACATTAACCAAACATTTTGTTGTTTTTTTGTCTTCCAGGCACGCATCAAACTGTAAGTTTAGATTATTTAAAATTCTCAATGTTTGAAAACTTCATATATTAAATTTCTGTATGTTTTCTCTTAGGTTCATTTACCAAACATGTTGCCAGACCATGAACATCTTAGAGATTATGAACCGCTCGGACTTATTGTTACACAACCGTTCGAGACCGCACAACTTTCACCCTCTATATTGTCTCTTCACGCCAAAATTGTAGCCGAAAATAAAAATTGGGATGGAGATAAGACAGTCACAATGACAGTGAGCTTCACTCCGGGATCGTGTTCTCTTACCGCATACAAACTCAATCCCTCCGGATTCGAGTGGGCGCGCAACAATAAGGACACATCGGTCAATCCACCAGGTATGACACTTCATTTATTATAATTTACTTAAGTGTTTCAATGTCTTCCATTACTAATATGACTATTCGAATGCTTGGTATTAAGGTTACCTTCCCACGTTTGCCGACAAAGTTCAAATGCTATTGTCTGACCGATTTATGGGATTTTTCATGGTTCCTGAAAATGATATTTGGAATTACTCGTTTATGGGTCCTTCTCATAGTGCTAATATGCGTTATAACATAAAATTGGACGTCCCTAAAGAATTCTACCATGAATTGCATAGGTATGGTATTTAAAATCTTGTACTCTACTTGAATTTATTTGTTACTTGTTCTAATGAAATTTCGTACTTTAGGCCTCAGCATTTCCTTAACTTTTCTGCAATGGAAGAAGAAGTCGAAGCTGATCGCGAAGATGCATTTGCTTAAAAAAGTTTTGTTTTTTATTTTATTTATGATAGTTAATTATTCTCAAAATAATGTTACAATCAAGAATGAGTTTTAGACAAAAATAGATTATATTCATCTACAACTTTAATAAAAAGGTGACTTGTTTATCCAAGTGGACTATTGATACAATAAAGATTTCTAATTTCATTAAAATGATTAACAATTTCAGCATTTATTTTTTATATATTGTAAATAGTTTTATTTATTATAATAAATATAAAAAAATTTTTTTATTAAAAAGCTATATATGTATATTATTTACAGTATATACAGTATATATTGTATTATAATGGAAGATTTAAATAAAATAATATTTAAAAACTCTGTCGATTTTTTGTCAATCCAAAAAACAAAAGTTTCTCAATAATAAGATTTATATTTTTTTTAATAAGTTTTTCTTGAAACAATTGTTTTTATTACTTTTGTTTTAATTTCTTTCAAAAAAATATAATTTTAACAAGAAAATTATAAATTTATATCTAAAAAGTTTATATCAAAAAAAATTTTTTAGAAAAAAAAATTACAAGAAAAAATATTTTTTATTTTTCTAAAAATTAAAGTTTTAATTTTATTATTATTATTATTATTATTATTATTTAAGGGCTAAGGTGCGATACATGTGCGGATTTTATTTCATAAATCACAATTTTATTATTTTTTTTTTATTCTATAATTAAATTATATTAAATAATATATAAATCTATTTGATTTAGCTTATTTATTAATAATTCAATATTTATAAATAATATTTATAATAATAAAATATAACTTGTTTATTAAATAGAATAAAATTAAAATTTGCAAATTATATTTGTAATTATATAGTTTAAATTTAAATTATATACTTTCTTATTATAAATATTATTGAAAATTTTTAAATTCATATATAATTAACAATTTCAATATTTAATTAAAATATTATTATTATACATAATTATTTATTATAACAAAGTTATAAAAAATTTTTTAGTTTTATTAAATTAAAATTGACAAATAATGACCTATGGATTTATATTATAGTACAATAGTTAATGCTCCACAGATCAGATCACAAAATACCAGTTCAACTCCATGTGAAGGTGGTTGAATAGTATTAATATGGTATCTGGCGCCATAATCTGATATGCACTGTTTCTCATGGGAAGCCAGTTCACATGCTGATCCAACAGGTGTTGAAATTGTGACCTCTATAAAAGGTGTAGTGGCGCAATGATCATCAGGATGGTGACACGATAATCATTGGCATAGCCAAAAACCTATCCACACATTTGGATGTACAAACTGTGCTGTACTTTATCTTAACCAATTCTAAGCCGTGAAATCCTTTCCTGCTAGCAATCGAAAGTAAGAAGCCTTGAAGAAAACTCTGTATCAATACTAATGTATAGTCATCCTTATGATGGTCCTAAAGCAAGTTTAAGAAAGACACTCCTCTAAAACCATAGCTGCATGAGTGAAAAAGTGTAATGTGATAGGTAATCTACTTAAAATAGTTAGCAGGTCCATTGTTCCCACCCATAGTTGGACTAGTAGGTATGGTGGTTTAAAACTAGTGGTAGGATTTCCACCTCTAGATAGTCCCCCTAAAAACAATGTGATACACCTCAAGGGTGAACAGCATGTTGACAGGTACAAAAATAGATAGGCTAGCATTTAGCTATAGTCATAGCATTATAAAAGATGTTTGATATGACGAAATTTGTAATTCTAAGAATATGCAATAAAACCCAGCATTTAATGCCATTCTACTATAAAAAAAAAATAAAATAAATAAAATTGACAAATAACTTTATAAGAATAAATATTATTTAACTAGCTTTAATATTATAAGAATTTTTTTTTTTATATATAATTAAAAATATCTAGGCTTGTTAAAATATATAATATATAATAAAACTTTTTGAAATTTTTTATTTATTCATTATTTAAAAACCATTGTATTGAAATTAATAAAAAAATATATTAAAATAAAATTGAAAATTTAAAGATTTTATTAATATAAAATTAATAATTAATTCTTTTCTCTTTCTTTTCAATTATTATTTTATATTCTTTTTTTATTGAATTTATAAAATTATTTAAAATTTTATTTAAAATTTTATTTTATTTTTTTATTATAAACTATTTTAATTTTAAAATATTTCTAAATAATCTTAATACTATATTTTTTTAATAATAACTTATAAATTTTCAATAGAATTAAGTCTAAACTATTAGAAAATCAATTTATAATTTTAGAAAAATTTTTATTAACAAATATTTTAATAATTTTATTTGTATGTTTTGAATTATTGTTATATTAAAAATAAAAATTATTTCAAGCAATTCAATAATTTCTAATTTCTTTAAAACAAAAAAAGAAAGTTTTTTCCTTTATATAAAATTTTTCTTATATAAAAATTTTGATATAATTAGAATTTTTAATAATACTATTTTGATATTAAGTTAATATTAAATTTACTATGAGTTTAATATAATAGATTACAATTCATATATTACATTTATTATAAGTTAGTATCAAGTTAATACTATTTTGATACTTGATTCAAAATTTTAAATATAATCTTTAAATATTCTTTTGATTGATTTTGTATTTTTATTTTATTAAATAATTGTATTTCTGAATAGTTAAAATATTGTTTTATTAGAAAATAAAGTTTTTTTTTTAAATTATAATTAAGATATTTCATTGTTTAAATAATATAAGCTTCTTTATAAGAGTAATAAGTATAGAAGTTTTCAGTTATTTTTATAATTCAAACTTGTTAAATATTTTGAAATTGTTATATAAAATAATTTGATATTTATATTTAATAATTTAATTGTCAAAGTTTTTATAGAAAGTCTTAAATTATGATATTGTTGTGGTAAAATCACGGCGAGTCAGTCGCTTCGATCTGTCTTATGCCGTGTAATGATCGGAGCGGTTTCTGCTCAAAAGAGGCATGTGAATTTGGCCAGAGTTCGTAACGCTGACGCAGATCAGTCCGTCGATTTTGCGTCCTCAATGGTTACTTCACGCGCAGCAATTCCGTTAGCTACGCAACACTGGGGTCAATCACAAGGCAATAGT